GGTCTTGTTGTCAGGGCGACTTAGTAGAACACACCTAGTCCGAAGTCGTCTGTCATAGTAGTTGTCATGATCCCCTTCATCAGACAGTGGACTTGGTACATTCTGATGCTGGAAATCATTACAACTACTATGACAGACGACTTCAGACTAGGTGCGTTCTCCTAAGTCGCCCTGACAACAAGACCAAGTTGCGACAATGAGATCAACCCACTTATGTAAATCGAAAGGAGACTGCGACCATACCAGAGGCCACAACATCTTGGTCTTCATATCTTATTAAGGTAGTTATAATAAAATTAATTTAATCAGGATTTTGTGATCCTAGATCGCTTAGGTTGATTTGGGGACTGATAGTTGAGTTTTGTCTTCAGTGAAATTAATACACCTCACAATACCATTGAAATTCACTTATTATTATCTCCTAAAAGAGGATCTCATCCAGACTGAATTGCAGATTCGACCTCATCCAAGTCTCATCAGCACCTTAAGTGGGATTCGATACTGGGTCATAAGTATCGTGGCGACGTTACTATCCCACGAATCGTCTGCCGGTGAAAGTGGATCACAGGGCATATGCAACATTCAAAGCATGCCAGGCCTCTCACAGCTCACACTTTGATGCTGGGATGGTCAATTAAGCAAACATGTGTTTGCAATTGCAATCGACGACTTAATTATAAGGTGAATGGTCATCGTTGGTGACGATTGTCAGCCTGAATGGGAATGCTTTTGAAGGGGCAAGACTAAGCAATATCCAATGGGACCGTGAGGCCTAGTCATCTGATTGTGGGATTTAATCAATTCTCAGTCATTACATCACCTTAAACAATTAGGCTAAGTTTATATTTGAGAATTACCAATAGCCTCAAAAATAGCGCTGGTCTTTTCAGAAGTTATAGGCTTTCTTTGAGTAACTTGAATTGTTGTTAGAACTTATTCTAAGAGGTTTTATCTTTCTCCACATGAAATTTGATGAGACATCAACTAAGCAATTTAAGAGATGATCATGTGCTGAGTTTCTGTCCATCATGTGACGGATATCGCCATAGCCAGAAACCATACGAACAATCATAAAAAACGCTAAACCAAGAAAAGTGGCTGGTTAAATTCCTACTTACTTTTTATACCTCACTTTGCTATCTTAATGGGACATTCGATGGTTTTTCTGGCGCACCCTACATGCAAGTAGGCGAGCGAAGATGATACAGGAAGAGGAGAGGATATGGTCACAATTTTTTTCCATTAAAGTAAACTAGCCTATGATCCTGTAACCATGGGGCTTGTTTTAGCTTCGCGGATGCTTGTGCATTTTGTGTATGCCATAATCACGAGTTAATTGAAAATCTTTTGGTACCAAACCAGACTCCAGCTTTTGTATACTCGCAGTCTCCATGATTTGGTTGACTGTTTTATGCTTGTCCTACATGAATGTAAGCGGGTCAAAGTGATGCAAATAAACTAGCAGTCATGTGTCCTCCTACACCTTCTTGGATAAATGTTTGTGTGTGTATGCAACAACCATAAGTTGGTTGGCAATCTTAAGTGCAAAAACAGGCTCCAACTTAGTCTAATCTTCTTCCATTACTCAATGGCTCTTCTTGTTTCTCTTCCTTTTTTTTGTCTTGCTCTCTCTTGCTCTCTCTCTAATGCTATTCAGAAACCAGAGATAGTTCTTACTTAGTTTCCTACATTCGTTCCTTTTATTCAGGATGTTCTTTGTTTCATTAATTTCAATTCATTATCTGATCTTCTGTTTAGCTGTGAAGTCCCCATATCCGGTAAAACGTTAGGATTTATTCATTCTATCTGGTGTCCTGTAGTGACGACATGTTCAGCCACTTGCGATTTCTGAAACCATAAGCCTCTGCAGGCGTTCTGTGTTCTGATATACTTTTATGTGTCGGTCGAAAAGTCCCTCCAACCCAACACTACCACATGAGCACAAAATCTTATGACAACCGAATCGGCAGAGAGAGTCTGAAGATTCTCTAAAAGAAGGCGCGACCGAGGAAAGATTTAGTATTCCTTCATACATGGTCCTGACGTTCCATTTCCTCAATGATTCGCATATATTTCTTGAAAGTTGGCAGGATGTTAGCATGAGGAACATAGCTGATCACATTTCAACTACCAGTTACAAGCTAAGGGGAGATTTCCAGCTGGAGCGGGATAGGCAATCAAGTCATTCTACTCGAGTCTTGATTTTCCCTTCTTGTCAGCTGGAGAAAATGTTGGGCGATCTAACGAGGCAGAGGAACATCCGAACAATGTTTATAGAGACTCCGGCTCGAGTCCCGTTAGGGATGTGAGATTAAGACTGCACTTCAGCCCAGTCTGGATAAGATTGCCTTTTGGCTCATGATGACGCCTATTCATCTCATTGTGAAGAAAATTCAGCTGTCCGTTCTGAATCATTTTATGTGACCTAGGATTACAAACGCTTTGATTCACGACTTACGGATACTCTCGAAACCCACTTTTTGTGCATATATTTGCAATACTTGCAAAGCACACTTCCATTACGAGATTCAAAGGTCCATCCAGCCAGAAGAAAATGGCGGATTCCTCTTGGCCAGAATATGACTTGAATTCGCGAGATTACATAATATCTCATCAACGGGCATGGAGTTTGGGTATATATACAGAATTTAAGGATAGACAGATGGGTTTCTTGACTAGCTAGCTTCAACATGATTGTAAGGATGGTGATCTCATTCATACAAGAGACGAAAATGAGCACATTTTCATCGAAATCAGAGTGTATTTCTCTGAGGACAGCTGGAAGGGAGGAATCCTTCATCGTATTTTTGTAGAAGGGCGACCTTCAATCCTCTTCATCACACATTTTCACTCAAAATGGAAGCGAGCTCGACAATTGTGAACCAAGAGATTCCTCAGTACTCACATTTTCGTAGCATACACACTTACACTGAGTTATCAGATTGGTTGTGCTCAACTGCTGGTGTTGATGTTGAGTTTGTCTGTTCTGTGTACTCGGTCTAGCAACAGCGTCTTCGTAAAGAAGAGAGTGTTGCTGCTGAGACTCGAGAGGCTGGTAGGTCTGACAAGGCCTGAATTGTGAGTGATGCTGGTCTGGTTGGGAGTCTTCGTCTGGCTGTTTTGTTTCCAGCCTGCAGCCATCGACTTGTGGCGACTGACAAACCAGTTCCACGAGCTCGGTTGTCAACTGTTTGCTCCACAGACCATCAGAGCGCTGCAGCACAAAGAGCTCCTCGGAGGGGTCCTGTCGCCTCGGCCAGTCGTCATTCGGCCGATGAGCGTACGACTCGTCCGACTCGACGTGATGGTAGCAACAGTTCGACTCCTCCAATTCTGTGAAGCCGACCGGATGGTGAGTCTGGCCTCTTGGCAACGGCTGCACATGTGACCCTTGAAGATGGAACGAAGCTTCGGGAGGTGCGAGAGAATCGGCCAGAAGGAGACAGACTCCGTTGTCGTCCAGTCGCAGGTCTGTTGCCCCCGAGTTGGCCTGGCAGCCACAGTCGCATGGGCACATGCGACCATCACGGCCCCCAGGTCGACTCCTCCCTTCACTCGTCTCTTCTGCCGGTCGGGCAACTCGGCCCATTTGTCGCCACCCCGCCTTGACCGACCACTCGGTGAAGTCACTATGGCAACTGAGATTGCAACCAACTTGGCTGAGCTTCGGAGGTAGGGGCGATTCTACCAACGGGGGGAGTGATTCGAGGCGAAAGAGTTCTCGTCTCGCCCGACCAGTCGCCTGAAATGAGTGTGTCCCGACCTG